CATATTATCTATGGACATCCAAGGGGGAGTGTTATAAAATAATATATTGTGGATGTCCACTACATCAAGAAGTTACTCCATACTTTCCTCCATTATGAAGATAACCATAACCTCCATAACCTCCACCTTTATAACCATTATTCTTGTAACCTTTCACTTCCATAACCTCCCCATTATATTCATGTTAATGTCATGTTTATGACTAACCTTTTGTATGCCTCTATGTTACACTATAAATAAAGGCATAAGGGTTCATATTGTAGTGACTTGAAGATTTGGTGTACACTTGAAAGAAAGAAAGTTATCTCATATTGTTTCTCTTGTCTTATATTCTTCTTGTCTTTATCTTTATATTGTTCTTTTGTTCTTAAGTTTTACAACAATATTAAATTATTTGACATTTTAGAAATTAAAGACAATATTTTTCCCCTTGATTTTTCTTAGTACTAATTATTTTTCAACGTTATAAACACGTCAATATAATTATATTCCTAGTGTAATTTTATAAATCACAAGTGAACAGATATTTCAATAGAGTAAATATTTAATGAAGAAAGATTATCTTAAGACATAAATAAAGATAAAATAGTCAGGGGAAAAACAAACTCCTAACTAATATTTTCTTAAGAAATGCGTAAATATGAAACACGACAAATAATTTTAGACAAAAGAAGTATTTGGTAGGGAGAAAGACAGGGAGAAAAATGTCTTTCGCAAGATTATGATTTATTTATCTTTTTTGGATTTTTTTGCTTATTTCCTGATATTTAATAAGTAAGCAAAAAATATTATTTGAAAGACGTTTATATATAATTTAGACAAACATTATGGAAGATAATATGGGATTAGTGGATGTGACTATTGTTAATTTAAATAATTATCCTTTAATTAAACTTACAGAAGTATATATAGTACTTCATCCGTTTCAAAAAGAGTGACCTAGTTTGACTTGGCACAGAGTTTAAGAAAATAAAAAGACTTTTGAATCTTGTGGTCCTAAATTAAAGTTATGTCAAATGTACAAAATTATCCTTTAATCTTGTGGTCTTAAACATGCCACATGAAAAGTTGAAATTAAAATGTTATCAAAAAAAAGAAAGAGGTCATTTTTTTTAAACAGACTAAAAAAAAGGAGCTCATTCTTTTTTAAACGAATGGAGTACTTTTTAGCTTCACACTCTAATTAATTAACATTAATATAGATCTTATATTTAGACATATAATTAAAATATAATGATATACAATAACTTGAATAAACAATAAGAATATACAAGAACAAACAATTTTGTAAAAAGTGAATCATACTTGCAAAATGAAATTGATTCTTATTAATAACATTGGAAAAAACGCAAAAATTATTACTACATCAATGGCATTAGGCAAGCAAAAAAAATGACAAGTAGTAGTTTATTAACATTGGAAATTTACCAACAAAAATTGAATCATAGTATATAGTACCAATATTTACGATCATCGATCCATTTTAATCCCAATACAATGGGATTACGATATATTATGATCATGATTTCTAAACATGAGTATTTTCGTCAGATGGCATGTATTTTTTCCAGAACCAATGACTCTTCCAAATTCTCGATACATCTTCGATAGGAATACCTTTAGTCTCAGGGAGGAAGAACAAGATGAAAAATGTCATGATCACCACGAATCCTCCGAAGAAGAAGAAGAGCCCGAATTTCAATTCACAGAGCATTGTAAGGAATATTTGTCCGATAATGAAGGTGAAGAACATGTTTACTGAGACGTTGATCGATTGCCCTGCTGATCGAATTTCCATGGGGAAAACTTCACTGGGAACAAGCCAACCTAAGGGTCCCCATGACCAAGCAAATGCTGCTACATATACACAAATAATGGCAACTGTAATGTTACCAAGTCCTTTGCTGAATGTTCCTAGACCATCCACTCCAAATACACTAGCTATGATGGAACCAACAGCAATCTACAATAAGAAAAAAAACAGAGTTTTGTTTAGTTTAGTCAGGAGTTGAAGTTTATAGAGTTGTAAATCGATAGACAGACAAATGTTTATAGATATGTAGTGGATTGAGCAAAAGTCCGTCCGGACTTAAGTGTCACTAACTTAGTGTATTGTGCTTTCAATGTAGTTGAACATATTCAGGATTTGAAGTTTATAGGGTGGTTATTGACTGACAGACAAATATTTCTAGATATCTAGTGGATTGAGAAAAAAGTTGTTTGGGTTTACGTGAACTCATGATAAGTTGTACTCCATCCATCCTCAATTAGTGACACTAACTTAGTGTACATATTCAGGATTTGAAGTTTACAAGATCGTAAATAGATTGACAGTCAAATGTTTACATATATCTAGTGGATCGAGCTAAAGTTGTTGGGGTTTACGTGTCCATCCGTCCTCAGTTAGAGTCACTAACTTAGTGTATTGTGCTTTCAAAGTAGTTGTACATATTCAGGATTTGAAGTTTCTAGGATGGTTATTGACCGACAGACAAATGTTTATAGATATCTAGTGGATTGAGAAAAAGTTGTTTGGGCTTACGTGTCCATCCGTCCTTACTTAGTGTACTCTACTTTCAATGTAGTTGTACATGTTTAGGATTTGAAGTTTATAGGGTTGTAAATTGACTGACAGACAAATAAATGTTTACAGATATCTAGTGGATTGAGCAAAAGTTGTTAGGTTTATGTGAGATCATGATAAGTAGTACTCTATCCGCCCTTAGTTAGTGACACTAACTTAGTGTATTGTGCTTTCAATGTAGTTGTACATATTCGGGATTTGAAGTTTATAGGGTTGTAAATCGACTGACAGACAAATGTTTACAGATATCTAGTAGATTGGGCAAAAGGTTGTTGGGTTTACGTGAACTCATGATAAGTAGTACTCCATCCGCCCTTAGTTAGTGACACTAACTTAGTGTATTGTGCTTTCAATGTAGTTGTACATGTTCAGGATTTGAAGTTTATAGGGTTGTAAATGGATAGATAGACAAATGTTTACAGATATTTAGTGGATTGAGCAAAAGTTGTTGGATTTATGTGAAACCCATAAGTGATACTGTGTCAGTCACATATTAGTTGTTCACTTTCCCTTTTGTACGCCCCATAAGAAAATCATAAATAAGAAGAGCAGAATGTAGGCGGATTTTGGTACCTGGCAGATAATCATGAGTGTACCACCAACAAGGAACAAGGGTCTCCTGCCAAATCTATCAACAGTGAATATGGATATAAGTGTGGCGAACACATTGACAAGTCCGGTGATGACAGCTGTCATCAACGCAGCTCCGTCCCCAAACCCAAGTGTTTTAAACAGGACAGGTGCGTAGAACATAATGACGTTGATACCAGTGAGTTGTTGGAAGAACGGAACCAGGACAGCGACTGTCAATTGTGGTCTATACCTAGGTTTCATAATGTTACCCCATGGACTTTCGACTTGTTTAGACATGTCGCTTGCTATGATAAGATCCTCAAATTCGTTGTCTACATTGCTTGTACCACGAATCTTTTGCAACATTGTCTTTGCCTCCTCTTTTTGCCCTCTATCGATCAATGAATTAGGCGTGTCTGGTAGGAAAACAGCTCCTACTGTCATGATAACAGCAGGTACAGCCGCGAGAACAAGAGACACTCTCCAACCATTTTTCTTCATGGTAGAGGTACCATAATTGACAAGATTCGCGATCAGTATGCCAAGTGTGACAGCCATTTGGAAACAGACGTTGAGCGCTCCTCTAAGTTTAGGTGGAGCCATTTCTGAGAGGTAAACGGGGACAGATTGGTTGGCATAGCCAATGCCAACACCTAGTAATAGGCGCCCCAGAATGAGTACACCCAAGTTCATGGCTGCACCATTCAGGACCGCGCCTATTAGGAAAATTAGACCACCGATAAGCATAGAGATTTTTCGTCCAAATGCTTTTGTGGTTATTGAAGCTGCAAATGAAGCAACTAATGCTGCTAAATAGAGTGATGAAGTGAAGAGTTGTAACATATGATCATTGAATTTGCAATATTGGCTTCCTCCTTCTTTCAAGTTCTTCTCCTTGTGATACACATTTGGGAAAAATTTGAGTAAAAATTCATCCATAGATGTCACTCCTCCTGTAATTTTTGAAGCAAAATCATCAAGAATAACATATAGACGAAGGTACGAAAAGAGAGGGATTCAAAGAATAGATGTTTTACTGTCTGTTCTTAATCTGATATACTTTCATGATAGTAGATAGAAGGCGTGTTTGATACAACTAAAAATTTAGCGAAGGTACGGAATGAAAGGGATTCAAAGAACATCCATTTTACAGTTTGTTCTTGATCTGACATACTTTCACGATAGTAAATACGGCTAAAAATGTATAGGCGAAGGTATGGCAAGAGAGGGATTGAAAGAACATCTATTATAAAAAGGCATTTTACTGTTTGTTCTTAATTTGACATACTTTCACGATAATAAATAGAAGGTGTGTTTGGTACGACTAAAAATGTATAGGCAAAGGTACATCAAGAGAGGAATTCAAAGAACATCCATTATAAAAGAGGTTTTACTGTTTGTTCTTGATCTGACATACTTTCAAAGTAGTAGATAGAGGGTATGATTGGTACGACTAAAAATGTATAGACAAATGTACAACAAGAGAGGGATTAGAAGAACATCCATTTTAAGGGATTAGAAGAACATCCATTTTATTGTTTGTTCTTGATCTGACATACTTTCAAGATTGTAAATAGATGACGTTTTTGGTACGACTAAAAATGTATAGGCGAAGGTACAACAAGAGAAGGATTCAAAGAATATCCATTATAAAAGACATTTTATTGTGTGTTCTTGATCTAACATACTTACACGATAATAGACAGAGGATGTGTTTGGTACTGACTAAAAATGTATAGGCAAAAGTACAACAAGAGAGGGATTAGAAGAGCCCATAATAAAGACATTTACATTAAAAAAATTTATACATATTTTTTTTCACTTATTTTCTGTGTGTATACTGAACACCAATAAAAAAACCAAAAAAATGGATAAAAATATATTTACCTGAAATACCAATGTCATAACCAAAGAGTAAACCACCAGTGGCTGCAACCAAACATGTCATAATAACAAAAGCTGTAACTTTTCCTTCATAATCACCACCTCCACCACCACTTGCTGCAAATCCTCCTGCCATCTTTTTTTCTTTTATGAATTTATCGAAAATAAAATCTCTAACTTTTTTCTTAAAAAAAAATAATTAAAATAATAAATAATTATTTAAAATAATTTATATACAAATTCTTTGTGAGTTTTCTATTGGATAGTGGTGTGGATAACACAAGAGTAATTTTCAAGGGATATAAGAAACAAAGGCCTTTGTTAAAAAATAATAAATTTCAATAATTTTTTTTTTCTTCTTGAAAGACCTTTGGATTTTTTTTCTTTGTTTTGATAATATTTATTTTCCCTTGTTCTACATGAGCACGGCAAACTTGTTGCCTGCTCTGTCTCTTTTATTTGCTTGTTATTTTTCTAAAAATAATATAAGGTATTTATAAGAGGTGAAAATTATGAATTATCCATAAAATAGGGCAAATTATTAGGAGATATGAGGATGGAGAGAATTGTTAGAAGAAGAAAAAAGTGAATTTTTATCCATGTATAATGTTTGTGGATGATATTAATTTATGATAATTGATTTAACAAAATTTTAATTGAAATCAATAATACTAAATAAATAGATGAAGATGCTTATTTGTTTCCACCATGCATGAAAAATGGGAGTAATATTAGTTATTGTTTGGTGAATAAAATAAGAAATCCGTGTGATACGTAAGTAATAATATTAATCATGTCAAATTGTAATTTAACTTATTTGTGCATTTGATTATATATATATGTATAACAAAATCTCTATGAAAAAATTGCTATATTTTAAAACTCTTATCATATAGCTTGGAGTTATTTCATTGTTTAAATTAATCTATATACTCTTTAGGTATTATTTTTAGGGAAAATTATGCGGATAAACAAACATATACTAGTTAATTAGCTAACATAATTATAGTTTGAATTAATTATGGATTGCAACTTAATTTTAGTTGTAATTACGTCATCTCTCTCCCCTCTCCTCTTTTATTCATATACATATACAATTATATGACAGATATACAAATACAATTAGCCTCTCTCCACTCTTTGCCATCTCTCGCTCGGCTCTCTCTCTCAATATCGCTTGCCTCTCTCCTCCCTCTAACAATCTCATTCGCCAGATATACAAATACATATGTATACCAGTTACATATATACAATATATACAATTATCTGACAAATATACATATACAATTCGTCTCTCCACTCTTTTCCCTCTCTTGCTCACCTCTCTTCTCCCTCTCCCAATCTCGCTCGTCTCTCCTCCCTCTCTCAATCTCGCTTGCCAGATATACAAATATATATATGTATATCAGTTACATATGTACAATTATTTGACAGATATACATATACAATTCGACAAATATACATATACAATTCGTCTCTCTGCCCTCTCTCTCGCCTCTCTCCCCCTCTAACATGTAGCTACGAATCATAATTAACAAACTATAGTTATGGAACACAATCAAGTTATTTTTGAATGGCTATAAGCGAAAATTCTCCCTTTTAGATTCACTATATTTTCACTTTTAATTTAATTAAGGCATAAATACATTATATTATCTCTTTTTTATTTTCATTATTCAATTTCTTTTGGTTTTGGCTATTAGGACTTTAGTTACATGGTCTTATCTGTTGTATTATTTTCCTTATCTTATCCTAATTCAAAAATATTATCATTTCAAGCTCAAATAAGTTTTATCCTTCAATTTCTAAATTGAATGTTATTTTCTAAAAGAAAATCATACCATGCTTTCAATCTTAAATTAATTACACTCCGTCAAATATATTTATTTTTATCTTTCAATTCAAGTTCAAAAATTAACCACATTCGGTTCAAAAGATCTATTACAATGATATATTAATGTCCAAAAAAATAAAATAAGCATGATACATAAATATGTCATTTAATTTGGCTCTAGATCACATTTATGCTCTCCGACTTTCGGTGTGCACAAGTAGACACTTAAAGTTATATAAAATGAACAAATATACACACGTGTCATATGTGACATCCTATGTGACAATTTTCATCCTACGTGGTGTCATATGTGTATTATGCTACGTAAGACTCATATGTATACTTGTTCAATCTTATACAAGTTAAAGTGTCTCCTTATGCACACCCAAAGTTGGAGGGTACAAATGTGAAACGAGGCTAAGTTAAATGGCACATTTATTTATATGCCAAAAAAATAATCTTTATTTTAAAACTCTTTCCCTTTTAAGTCTTGGTGTAACATAGCCCGAAAGACAAATCCATCCAGGTCTAGGTACGTGTCATGGACTTGGGTCGTGAGGCTTGATGTGACGTAGCCCGAAAGACAAATCCATGTAAGTCTAGGTTTAAAGGAAACACGTACATCTAGGTTTAAAGGAAACAATACGTGTCATTGACTTGGGTTGTGACAATTAACTTCTAATAGGGTACTGGCCCAGCACATAAATCAGAACTGTTCTTAAACCACAAGGAAATAGTATAAATTGAAGTTAAGAGTCAATTGTTTCTACCATAAAAGGCAATCTGATGCACAAAACATTTCACGCTAGCAAATAAAAGGAAATGCATAAATACGATCGTCTTCTCTTTGAACGAAACCATATTACATAAATCTGAAAATACACAATTATTTTCATCTTATAGACAACTCAAATATACAAATCCAAACAGCTTCGCGCCATTATACAGCTAAAATATACAATGCAACCTCATTATTCTTGGCTAAATCAAGGAAGCAAATCAATTTATAGGCAAAAACAGGATAAACAACAACGACAAGACAAGAAAATTCCTCTCGTCGATCATAGACTGATGAAGATACCAGAACGGATAAACTTTTCCTTGAATATTACGCGTTAGAAACTGTCTTTAGAAGTCCATCAAGATACTCCTTGAGTTTAACTTTTGTTATCGCGCCTTCCCTTTTGCTGTCTGGAACTTCTTTTCCATCTTTGAAGAGAATCAAAGTTGGCAATCCATAGACTTTGTACTCTTCTATGATCTTGGGACTCGCGTCATGATCTATCTTAACAACAGTGATCTTTTCTTTGTACTCCTGAACAGTAAAAGTAAAGGAAATGACGTTTTAGGGAAAAGTATTTACTTCAAACATCAAGAACAAGAAAGACCAGAGACAGAAATCGTTTCATGATTCAAGATTCAACACAAGAAGACATAACTATGTATCATTATGCTGATGAATTGAAATGAAAAAGAGCTATACTAAAATGAGAAGAGCTCGTGTTCACTGGCTCCTGCATGGAAATTTCTCAATCTTTCCTCACTGGAAGTTCTATTTTAAACTACAGAGCTGTCAATCAATCAGCAGTATCCTCTATCTAGAGGCTTTTGGACATTGGACCAGACACATAATAGCTTTTGGACTTTAACTCTACACGAAATGGGAAAAAAAGCCTCGAAGAGAACATTTCAATAATTCAAGTTAAGCAAACATCACAAATGATTTTTGAGAAAAAAGAAGAAGATAGCTTCCCTCATACCAAACACACCTTTTAGCAGTTTAACGTGCTCATTGAAGAAAAAATTGAATATTTAACTCTACGTGAAAGGAGAAAAAGGCCTTGAACAGAACATTTCAATAAATCAAGTTAAGCAAACATCAGAAATGATTTTTTAACAAATAAAAAGAAATTCCTTCATACCAAATACACCTTTTATCAGTTTAACATGTTCATTAAAGAAAAAAAAATTGAATCTTTAACTCTATATGAAATGAGAAAAAGGACCTTGAACAGATCATTCAACGCCTGGAAATGATTTTTTTAGCCAAAAAAAAACAAATATTTTCATCATACCAAACACCCTTTATCAGTTTAACATGCTCATTGAAGAATTTCTTCAACATTTCAATATGAACAAAATACCTCTCATAGAACAAATTTCTTCTACATGATATGGGGAAAAGGGTCTTGAACAGAACATTTAAATAATTCAAGTTAAGCAAACAACAAAAGTGATCTTTCAGCAAAAGAAGAATAGAGTTAATGGTCAAAAATACACTTAAACTATTACTTTTTCACAAGTTTCATACCTTAACTATCTATTGTTCCATTAACCTACCTAAAGTATCACTCTCTTATTGTACTAAAACACACCTTGACGCTAAGTTGATCTACACGTGCATGTTGTCGAGTGGGAATAATATTTGGCCAACTAGCATCGAAGTGTGTTTTAATGCAAAAGGTGTGATAGTTTAGGAAGGTATAAAACTAGCGAAAGAGTAATCGTTTAGGTGCTTTTTTGACCATCAACTCAAACAAAAGAAGTCATTTTCCTTCACACCGAACACACATTCATCAGACATGCTTATTGAAGAAACAAATTGACAAAGGGAAATTGAAGATTTAATCGAATAGAGCTCCAATAACACAACATAAAGATTGTGAAAAGAAGAAGAACATGATTTGTCCACCCCATTTCCCAACGCGAATCAATGCAAAATTTGTGTTACAAAACATGGTTTTCCCACCAAATCAGTTCATTCCTGGAAAAACGCATGGTGGCAAACAAATTCTCATTGAAATATTGGGAACAGCTACTGAATATTTTTCCTTTTCTTACCTATTCAATCAAAATATCTGCGGAAATATGGGAAATTTGTATCACAAAACATGATTTTCCAATTTCATTCCCACCAAACCAGCTCAAAAAAATGCATGGTGGAAAACAGATTCTCAGCCACTAAACATTTCTCCTTTTTCACTGCTGAGGAAACAGTTCGCCGAACATTTTTCAATGAGAAATTTCAATGGAAATATAGTGATTATTAAGCAGTGAATTATTAACGAAGTACTAACTTTTTATTGTGATTTGTATCCTCCACGACCTCCTATCTAAGATTTAATTGAATGGAATTCGAATAACACAACATAAAGAGGGCAAAAAAACGAAGAAGAAGAACCTCAGCAACGGATTCCATGGCAGGACTAATCAAACGGCAAGGTCCACACCAAGTAGCAACGAACTCAACCAGTACAGGACGATCGGACTTCAAAACGACGTCGGAGAATTCATCTTCCTTAATCTCC